AAGCCAATGACAAAATGCACCAACAGATAGAAAGCCAATCCCTCCATTTTTAAATGACTGGTCTAAGTGAAATAATAATAATTAAAGCTGACATTTGTATAGTACTTAAGGTTTACAAAGCACTTTACATACATAATCTCATTTGAACTTCACCACATCCTCTCAGGCACATTTTGTTCAGTGATTTCAGTTGTGTTCCACTCTTCATGACCCCTTGTGGGGTTTTCCTAGCAAAAGTACTGGAGTGGTTTCCTTCTCCAACTCATTTTACAGATGAGCAAACTAAGGCAAAGTGTTAAGTGGCTTGCCCTGGGTCACACAGCTAGTAAATGTCTGAGGCTGGATTTAAAATCAGGTCTTCCTGACTCCAGACCCAGCACTGTATACATTGCACCATCTATTATCCCCATTTTACAGATTAAGAAACTGAGACTCCAAGAGGCTAACAAGCACCAGAGGTGGGATTCAAACCTAGGTCTCCCTCCTGCCTCCAAGTCCAGGGCTCCATCTACACCACACTGCCACTATTAGTAATCCACCCCACCATGAGCTCACCACCAAGATCCGAAGCCCTACTCTGATAACACAACGATGCCTCAGCAGCAAAAGACCTTCCAAGTTCTAGAGCCAGGAGACAGCCCCAGGCCTCTCATCATCCTTTTTGGACTAACCCATAATCCCATAAATTGACTCTGCTCTGCAATTTAGCAAACCACGGACTCAGAACTCTTCATTAGAGGGAAAAAGATCAGGAGAAAGGCATGTTCCTTAAATGCAAATGGCCTCTAGAACATATGTGATCTAAGTGTGTCACTCCCTACACAACAACCACACAGGAGGGCATTACTAGTTTGACTTGACATTAGTAGTAATAAAAATAACATTTCTATTAAGGTATTCAAAGAACTTTACATATGTTAATTCGTTTGATCCTCACAGCAACCCCAGAAGGCAGATGGTATTATTATCCCCTTTCCACATATACTTTCCAAGAACTGAGGATAAGAAAGGTTAAGTCACTTGCCTAGGGTCATACAGCTAAGTAAGGATCTGAGGCAGGATTGGGACTCAGGTCTTCCTTACCCCAAATCCAACATTTTATCCACTGTATCACCTAGTTTTCTCACCTTACCCTTGGTGGAAGACTGGAGGGGGAGGGGGAGGGGGATGGGAAGGATATCCACCCAAGCCAGAGGTGGGGAACCTGTGGCCTCGATGACCTAGAGGGCCACATATGGCCTTGAGGTTACAGGTTCCCCACCCTGACCCAAGCCCTGTGGTCCTCCTTCTCATCCCCATCAAATTAAACATTTCCACCTACAAGCAGTTTCACTCTTCCTTGATTTCACCTTGAACACATCACTAACCATTTTCATATTACTTAACAACACTTTTGCAAGCTATTGTTACATTGCTACATAGACTGTAATCTTTCACTCTCTACCTAAGGACAGCTAGGTGGAACGATGGATAGAGGCCTGGGCCTAGAAACAGAAAGACTTGAGTTCAAATCCAGCCTCAGATACTTACTGGCTGTGTGACCCTGGGCAAGTCACTTAACCTCTATTTGCCTCAGTTTCCTCAACTGCAAAATAGAGATAATAACAACACCTATCTCTCAGGGTTGTTGTGAGGATCAAATGAGATATTTATAAAATGCTTAGCACAAAGCCTGGCATATAGTAGGCACTATATACATGCTTATTCCCTCCCTCCAGATTCTTATCTCTGGGGACCTCCTCCTGTGCTTGGACATGTTGAAACAATCTAACCTGGGAAAATGACCAGTTGGGATTCTTCCTCATTCTGCTCTTGGGGGGGCAAAGGGTAGGGGGGAGACAGAGAGAGACACAGACAGAGAGACACGGACAGAGACAGAGAGTTTGGAGTTGGAGTGTGAGGAATAAAATTAAATTAAAACAGAGATGGAATCCCATGGGGAAAATTGACAAGATCAGAAAAATTCACTAATTCCTACTATTTTCTTTTTCCCCTCTCTCTTCCCCCAAATAAGAGAGGAAATGTATCATGAAACAATAGACCCCCTTTGAGAATCAGGGGACCTTGGATTACCCACTGACTGAGTATTCAGTCACTGCCTCTTCTTAGGGATTCTGTTTTGTTCTCTGTAAAATGATCGAGGTTGGCATGATCTCTGCTAAAGTTTCTCCCAGATCTTTATTTCCACAATGAAAAAAAAGTTTCTGCTTTAATTGTTCCCCAGAACTTAAGGTCAGGGCTCTATGTGGCCTCTCTCATCCAGTGACATCACTGCCTGCCTTGCTTTCCCAGGATGTGACATCATCAGTTCCCATAGGGAACTATCCTATCCCTGCCCCATAATGTAAGAGGAAATGGTAGTATCCATGAATGAGTATTATTAGGAAGGGCCTTTTTTCTTTCAAGCTTTCATATGGTGCAAGTAACCATTATCCTTTAAGAGTTGATTCCTACCCCTCCCCCCTCATAAAAGCTCTGCTTTTTTAACAAAAATATTAACTTTTTTTTAAAGAGACTTGGATTCTAAAATTTTCTCCTTTTTAAAGCTTTTATTCACATAGGCAAAAATCTATACTTGTCAATGAAAGTCAAAATAAATCCTTTTTTTTTTTAAATGAACAGGCCAGAAATGAGAACTATATTTTATCTTTATTCACACCTTTTGGGTGAACTTCCAAGAGAACTTCCAAGCAACACTGTCCTGGCCTGAGGCCAGAATCTCAAGCTTCTGTAATCTTGGGCCTCCAAGAAGGAAACTGAATTTTGATAAGGCTCGGGATGAGATTTGGGATTTCATTGGTCTGAGGAACTGGTGAGGAAACTCCCTCTACTAATACAAGTTGTCACTTTCCCTGCAATTTACAGTTTAATAGAAAATTGCCTAGAGCATTGATAGGTTAAGTAACTTGCCAAAGGTCACATAGCCAACATAGGTCAGAGGTGAGACATGAACTTAGGTCTTCCTTGGCCACCACAGAAGAAAATAGTGCACTAGGCCAGGTTTGATGAACAGATGCAGGAGAATGCTGCATTTTTAACAGGTTCTAATGTGAGCCAGCTTGACTGTTGCACCCCAAAAGAGGATTATAATGTTATCAAGCTGCTCTGCAGATTTTGGACCCCCAATTTGACAATGGCATACAGATGTTGCTGTAAGTCCAACTAGAAGCTAAAGTCACACAGTTTATCAGGAAAGTTTCAGATAGAACTCACTCATGTCCCAGGGCAGAGACTGCCACCTGCTGAAACGCCCAACTCCAACCTTACTGAAGGGCTTGTTTAAAAAAACAGAAACAATTGATGGCTAAAGCAATTCGATTCCCTGACTTCACAAGTAGAAGTTAAGCTTCTCAAATATACCTGCCACATTTAAGACCAGTCTTAAAAAGGTGATATCTTAAAGTTAGGTGAATGAAACAAAAGGAAGAACTTATCAGCCATGTAGGGGTTAAGGGACACTAGAAGAATACCCACCCCATCAGAAGACTGTATCATCTTCTCCTGAGAATGGAATTGCTGCCCATCAATCCAAGGGGATTCAGAAACAACTTTGCCAAAAAGCAGGAGGATAAATGACCTTTAGGGTCCCTTCCGACCCAAGAATTCTGAGAGCTTCTGGAAAACCCCAGTAAAAACCCAAACCCAGCACAAGCCAGCTTGTTACAGTTTTCAAAAAACCATAAAATTTTGGGTAGTTCCTGGATGGAGAACTTAAGCAAAGCTCAAAGGTGCCCCATCTATAACAAAGAAACCAAGACACTACTACTGCCCAAGATAAATCTAAGAAGCATCAGACTTTGTGAAGTCAATTTGATTTCTTTAAAAAAAAAATGATGCTGAGCCTTCTAAAAAAAAAGTTTTATTTTTAAAATATAGGCATTATCAAGCCAGAAGCAACACCATTGCTTCAAATCTTCAGTCCCAGGGAGTTACAAACTTACTCTACTGGAGTTTTCTCAAACTCAGGAGGACGTTCTAATGTGTCAGTGATACTCCATTTGCTCAGTAGGTGTGAAGGCTGAGTAGTAGAGATGAAAGGCTGAAGTGTCAACCAGTCTCTTCCTCCTCCCCTTTTCCCAAGAGCACTTTGCTTTACCCCTCTGTGGAGTTCTGCCTTATATCATATTTGCATAGGTGTCACATACACACTATTTGTAACCTCCTGAGGGGGTTCTGTCACTGGAATAGCACCATTCGCACCGTTTACACCCACAGAACAGGAGCTTATTAAAATAGAAGGAGGATATCTTCTCAGCTTAAGAATCTGATCCACAGGAAGAAAGGGTAAAATGATAATGTCATTTAATATAATGGATATGGACTGCCAGGACAAAGTAATGAGGAAGAGAGTGGTAGGTTTCTTCCGCCTAAGCCCAGAACTCAGTAGAGCAAAGAACCTGGCACAGGCTGGAAAGGAGCCTATGGAGATCCTACTGCCAAAAGTGTCTCCCTTAGGACAGGTTTAGAAGACTCCACTGGATCCCTACAAGAAGTTGTTGCTGGGAAGATGCTCTCCCCACGTACGTTCTGGGCAAGAGTGGGTTTTACAATAGCTGTCCTCATCCCCCTCCCCACCCCTCACACACACACACACACACACACACACACACACACACATACACACACATACACACACGCACACCACCCCCAGCCGCGGTCCCAGGTCTATCCATGAGCATCATCATTTGGACAGATGACTTCACCGCTCAAACAGACAAGGCCAGACACTTGCCAATTCCTAAGCCAAAAAAATAAGTAAAGAAGTAGAGGGGAGGCGGTGTCTGGGGAAAGGGGGACGTGTTAGGATCCAGAGAAGGGATCTGAGTGTCCTCAGTGGATTACAGCGCTCCTAGGAAACTCACCAGCAACATTCTCCCCTAACACTCGACTAGCCCACGAGACTGCAGCTAGCAAATGGGAACCGGGGCTTGTCTCCGTTCTGTGCCCAGCCCCCTTGGTCCCCAGCCCCAGCCTCGGACCCGGCCGGGGACGGTACTCACATAATGCTTGGAAGGGTTTCTCCTCTTCTCCACATCCACCACCGTGGCATCCTGCACAGTGTAGGCAAGCATCTTCTCCCCCACTCCGGGCAGCACGCCCCTCCCGCTCCGACTCTTCCTTCCCTTCCCTTCCCTTCCTTTCCGTCTCCTGGCCGGGCGACTTCAGCTCCTCATCCTGCCTGGGGCTTCCCAGGACAGGACTGCGGCTGCAGCTGCGACTCCCGCTCCAGTTCTTCCCCCGAGGGTCCCGCGGCCTCACACTCCCCAGAGCCGTTCCCTAGTGCCCCCGGGGAGGATGGCCAGGGAGGTGGGGAGGCAGGCTGGGGCACTCCACGCGCACAGGTAGCTGCCCTGGACACCCTAGGCGTCCCGGGGAGGCGGAGGACGTGTCCCCGGCTGGAGCCTTCTCCTGGCCCGAGGGTGTGGGCGGGGCGGCCCAGGTCGGGGGGTCTTCCTGCCTCCCCGGGCTGGCGGGCTCCTTCCTTCGCCCCAGCTCGCTCCCTAGCTCGCTCGCTGCCTCTCTCCCGCCGGAGCCGCAGCTGCAGCCTCCCGCTCTGGCCAAGGACCGCGGAAACTGGGGGAGGAGACCACGGGAGAGTGTCCTGCCTGCAGGGGAGAGGGAGGGGGCGGAGGCTGCAGCCCCGGTGCCTGCTGTCGGGGGGGGGGGGGGGGGGGGGGGGGCGGCCAGCGAGGGCGAGGGCTCTGCGGTGACTCTGGCTAGAGAAGCAGGAGGCGGAGGGCCAGGGCCGGAGAAGGGGAGGGCTGGAGGAGAGAAGGGAAGCGGGAGGGGAGGGGCTCCAGAGCCGGGGGAGGGGCTCGGGAGGACGAGGAAGGGGCTGCGACCTGGTGCTGGATAGAAAGCGACCCGTAAACTAGCTTGCACCCCATTCAGGGGCAAAGCCGTGTGTGTGTGTGTGTGTGTGTGTGTGTGTGTGTGTGTGTGTGTG